TTCCTGGCTCAATGGTAAACTTGGGTCCAGCTGGGCCCAACTGGGAATCAGAGTCAGTGCCACCCCCCGCAACCCCCGACTTCCAGTTCCCAGGGGGCTTGGACCACTGGGTTCAGCAGCAGCCCTTGAGGAAAACACCTGCTGCTGTATATGAGCTTTGAGAGAAGCTGTGTAGGAGGCAGGTCAGCACTGCCCAGCATGGGTATCCCGAGAGCAGCCTGGTGCATGGTAGCTGTGGTGGGGGAGGGGATTGGCCTGATGCTCTGGCTGGGCTGAGCTGGGGGATCGGAATATATTTTTCTTTGACTGAGGCACTTTCCAGCCCCCGGCATCTGTTCTGGGGCACAATTTGGCCTGAGACCTCCACACTGCCAAATCCCCAGGTAAGGCCTGAGGGGCTGCAGGTCCCCAGCAGTGGAGGCCCCACCCGCCCAGCACATTTCCACATGTTGCCCACCTTCAGGAGGTTACGTTACCAGTTTAAAGATTTTGGAAAGCGTGCCCTGGGCATCGATCCCCTTCAGTCCCTTGTGAGACGATTTATAGTCGGAAGCTCTGGCTCCGTAGCCAAATCCTGGCTTCTGCCCTTCGGCCCCCTGCAAGAAAAGACCAGAGAGCTCTCAGCCCCCACACCCCAGCTGCCACCAGGGTCACCAGGAAGGACCCATACCACCAAGCGGCCTTGGTGGCTCTCAGGAGCACAGGCCAGTACCGAGTTAAGAGCAGGAGGGTGCAGAAGGCGCCTTTCTCTGAGACTATCAGGGTGTCGCCCAAAAAGAGAGAAGGGTCTGGCTGGAGCTGAGGCTTTGTTGTGTGATCTGTGGCCCAAGTACACTTGTCTTAAGCTGGAAATCGTGGGACAGCTGCTTACCTTTTTCCTGCTGCGGGGTTTTCAAGAGAAGAGGAGCAAATACCAGGCAACTGCAGTAAAGAGCCCTCTGCCTGCACTGTGGGGAGGAAGGGGCCCAGAGGCCCCAGGGGTCCCGGGGCCAGGAGAATGTGGTGCTCCGATTCCCGGGATTTCTCTCTGGTTATTTGGCCCAGACTGGATTCTGTTCACATCTGTTCTGCTGTCATTAGGACCTGGAGGACCGAGAGTCTCTGGACTTAGTGAAATTTCAAGGCTCACACATTTTCTAAAGGGTAAAGACAAGATTTTTAATTCTCTGGTCTAGAGAAACCTCTCCCAAGAGTGACCAGGCATCAGCTTCCCTTTGCCGTGGCTTAAACGGGTACCAGGGTCCTTACCAGGCACCCTGGGCTGCTGACAGAGGCAGAGAGTAGCCCTGGGGGCAAGGCCCTGCGGCTGTGCGTGAGGGGCAGTCATGTCCTTGTGACAACTGGGTGGAATCTCAGCTCCCCCACTTCCTAGCTGTGTGACCACGGGCAAGTGTCAGAATCTCTCTGAGCTTCAGATTCCTCGTCGATAAAATGGGGATAATGATGGTCCCTTCCTTACTGGGTCATGTGCGAATACGATGAGTTAGTAGAGATAGGCTCCAAAGCAGAGCCTGCAAGCCCTGCATTTCCACACATGCCATCGTTTCGGGAGGTGGCCACCGGGGAGGGGCAGGCCACCCTGCACCGAGGCCTCCAGCTGCCCCAGAAGCCCCTCTCTCACTTCAGGAAAGGAATGGAAGTTTCCTCATGGGACTTAGCAATGGCAAGTGATTACGGAAGTGTGAAGAGCCCTCATGTCCCAGGACCAGTTTAATTTCTAATAAAAATTATTTTCAAATGAGAACTTCCACCAAACATGAAAAAGGAGCAGGAGAAGCTCTGATGAGGGTATTTAGACCTGATGAGTGTGGATATTTTGGGGCAGAGGGTCTCCCAAGCTTAGGTGCAATGTCTATGGAGGGCTAAGCAGGCTGTTAGCTTTTCAGGAAAGTTGTTTGCCTCACAGACCTCTACTCAAAAGACAGGGTCCAGATTTTGCTTTATGTTTTCCCCAAAAGATACGGGAGACTCTCTGCACAGTCCTTTCCTAAAGAGTCTGGTAAACAAAAGCAAACCCTGTCCTGCTTGATTCCCCATCAGCCTACAGACCCTTCCTAATCTCATAAAAGCATTTTAGAGCAGGAAGTCTCTTGAGAGACAATTTAACCCATCCCTTTATTCTGGAGGTGTTGGAGAAGGGATCCGAAAGTTCAAGCTCTCCAGCACTACCTCCCTGGACTCAGGGCCATCTGTCCAGGCACTTCGCACCGCACGAGCGACTTCTGAAGTCTCCTTCTCACTCAGCCTGTGCTTGGGAATGAAGGTTGGACACCCAGGACCCAGACGGCCACTTCTATGTGAAAATGTGGTGCAAGGGTATCAGGTGGGGTAAGGGATGGGGATGTGTGGCACAGAAGGTCTAAGCACCGCATACTAAAGGAGAGCTGCCATTGCACCCAGAGGTTTCCACGGTCGCGTGCTCTCCATGGCACGTGGAGGAGCAGAGGACAGCTTGGGAGTACTGCGCCAGACAGACAGACAGACAGTCCTGAAACTGCCCGTGCGAGTGCGAGGTCATCTGTCTTACTCTATTGGCTTTCTCCTAAGATAAAAAGCTTCTGAGAACTAAATTCAGGGATTGGCTTTCAGATTAACCATCTGCTTGACTTTTCCTCCTTCCAAATTCTTGGTCACTTTTATCCTTGGACAGTCTAGAATTTACCAGGAAACATACAACATAGTTTAGAAAAAGAAAGTGGTACATCCTGACCCTCTGAATAGACAGTCCTGTAGTTCTGGAAAACAGACAGACAAGCCAACAAAATACAGAGAAGGATTTTGCTTTGGAAAAAAAAATCAACGAACATTAGTAGTATCAAACATGGAGAAACGCAGAAAGGAATGCGGAGATCTTTCTTGTGAGCTGGGTTTGGAGTGTCTCATCCCTCCACATGCAGTGATGATTTTGCATAAAGCCCAGAGTCCACTCCTAGAAAATGAAGAGGCAGATGAAGGAGTAGCTAAAATAAGATCTCTGGGTCAAAAAGACATTTTATTCTTTAATATCATCTTTGTCTCCTGCTGGCACAGAAAATCAAAAATTAATTAGCTGTGAGCACTAGTCCTTGTAATTTTCCTTCATTATTGTCATCTTTTTGCAGATTCATTAGTTCAGGAAAAGCAGGCCCCATATGTATTTGTATAAAATGTTCAGCAAATATCTTAGTTCGTAATTCAATGTAATAATGTGTTGGAGAGACCCCGGAACTTTATGGATCTTTCCTCTATGTCTCTCTCAAGTGATTCCTCTCTCTCTCCCTCTTCCTTCTTTCTGTCCCTCCCACTTTCTGTTTTGGTTTTTTTTAAAAGTCCCTCATTCATTTATATGATGCTTATTAATCGAGCAGCACGCACGGGCAGGCTCTGTTCTACAGCCGAAGACATTGCAGTTTCTGAGACAGACGCAATCCCTGGCCGATAGGTTGGTGAGTATTCCTCCATTTTATGTTGAAAATTATAATTTTTATAAAATAAGAACCATATCTGATATTTGCTAGTAACCGGCGTCAGTAGGCTTGGTTAGGCTCAACTGCAGGCATTCTAAACTGGCTCACATGCATGCTCCAGACAGTGAACAAATTAGCCACTTTATACCTTCATCAAAACTTTGCTCTCTGTGTTAAAAATCCTAAAATTCCTAAGGAGGTTTTCCTGGATGGCTTGATATCTAAGTTTTAGTAAACACAAAGAAAAAGATGTTAAATTCAGTTACTCAATTTATAACAAAACCAAAATCTTTTTGATTAACAGGATAGCTATGAATTGAGTAACTGAATTTAACTTTTTTTTCTTTTCATTAGCAGTAGCTTTTTTCCTCAACAAAATTTCAGCACCTGAGATTCTCTACACGGGTCAATTAGCTCAGCTCCACATGCAGACTTGTGGGACTTGTTTTTCATGTCAGTTGTACTGGAAAGACATTAGAAATTTTGTCAGACATGGTGTGGGCTCTTCCCTGGGAAGGAGAGCAGCAGCGTCTGCCAGGGACGCTTTGGGAAGAAAGGCGTCCGGCCCGCAGTGCCCGGGTCACCAGGGCGTGGAAGCAGGAGAGGGTGACCCGGAGAGAGGGGAGCCAGCTCTGTTTTCCCTCCAGGAGAGAAAGCAGCCCGTTTACAGCTGTGGGCAAACCAGCCTGACAGGCAAGAAAAGGCGGGACCGTTAAGCGACTGAAACAGAGCAGAGCGTGGAAGTCAAGCGGCTGCGAGGACGAGAAAGGAAGAGGAAGCCGAATGGAGACGCGCTTGTCACCTACCCAGCTAAATCTGCTCAGTCCTCTCCCCTGTGTGAGAAAGAGAAAGAATGACACGGTGACCAGTGAGGAAAGAACACGAACGCAACCCAACAACACAGCACCGGCCACATCCCACGGCTGGCAGCAGC